AATTTCGATTTCGAAGGGTTGCGACACAATCGATAACCTTCGAAATCTAACGTTGCGATATAATTTCGAAGGTTTTCAAATTAATATAATTACTGATGAATAATAAAAATAACAATAACCAGAATGATAATACCCAAATAATGAATATGCTAACTAGAATGGCAGGACAAGTTACCACATTGATACAAGGTATTGAACAAATTTCAATCTGTCAAAATAATATTAATAGAAAATTAGGAAGCTCATCAGCTTCTCAATAGTTTCCCTTCTTAAAAACAATATCATAATGATGATTGAACAAAATAAATCATTATCAAATACAAATTCTAACATAATAATAGATAGTGAGATTACTTATAATAATAATAATAATAACAATAATAGTTCACTTTCTTATAACAATAATAATAATAATAACAATAATAATAATAATAACAATTATAATAATAATAATAATGATATTAACTTAAATACAAACAAAGAAAATAATTACATAACAGACTCACATCTTTATTTAAATTGTGCTGTAGACACACAAAATGTCAGAGGGATAAATGACAACTTAAAATAGAATATGTGGTGGGAATTTTGTAGAGAAAATCCCTTAATATACATGTTCCCAAAATTGATTTTGGATTTTTGAGGTATTTCGACTTTTTGAGATTTATGCAAAATCTATTTTATATATGAAAATAATAAAAGTACCTAGTTATATGTATCTTTAATTAAAGAATAAATCTGGGTAGTCAAAAAATTTTGGATTTTAAGTAAAATAATTTCGTCTTCTATAAAAAACTATTTCAACTTTTTTCTCCAAAATTGCAATTTCGGGACCCCAAAATAATTTTGCGTGCAAGTATATCCCTTGATATAGTTTTATTAACAGAAACTAAAACAACAAAAAACTCTGAGAAAAATATATTTATTAATCAATTTTTGTTAGCAAAAAAGAAACTACAAGACCCAGTATATAAAATATGGTAGTCGTCTATATCAGAAGCAAATAATAATAATATAGGTTCAGGTTTAGGCCTAATGATAAACGCAACTCGCTCAGCACGTATACAAAGTAAACAAATTCCCAGGTCATGGAATTAGCATTTTACTATTCTTTAAAAGAAAAATAGTATTTCAAATAGTTGGTATTTACGTGCCTAATCAATACTCAAACAATAATAGTATAATTACTTCTTTACGAACATGGTTACATAACCAAATTTCTCAAACATTATCAAATAATTAGATCTCAATATTATTAGGAAATTGGAATGCAGTGTTTAACCCAAAAAAAGATTACTTTTCAGAATGAAAACAAACTTTACCAGAGGGAAGTATTCTATAATCGATTATATATAGTGGATATATTGATATATATAGATTTATCAATGGAGATAAAAAAGAATATTCATATCACCAATATCATAATAACGTACTTAGAAGTCAGAGTAGAATTGACTCAATATGAGTACATGACACCAATAAAAATATGATAATGAATGCAAAAATCGAAGATACATCCTTAATAATTAAAAGTGATCACTCATGCGTGATAACAAAAGTAAATGTACAGAAGTACTGTGACAAAGATACCTTAATGAAATATAAAAAGATGAATTATCGGATACCAAGATTATGAAATTTAAAAATGGCAAATAAAGAAAATTGGGAACAATTTACAACACAAGTTGAGCAAACATCTGGACAATATCTCTCGTCACATGAGGATAATAATAATACAGTAGAATCGATATGGCAATCACTTAAATCAATATTGATCACAGCAGGCAACCAATATTTACCCAAGGCTAAAGAACTAAAAAACTGTACAAATATTATATGGTGTAAACATCCAAGTTATCCAATATTAAATTTAGCAAATAAACTATATAAATTGGAAAAAAAGCTAAAAGATAACAAAAACTCGAATAAATCGAATCAATATCTTAGCTCAATTTCTAAAATCACTTCAAAACTTACTATTACTCACAATGTGAATATAGATCTATATCCTTCAAATGATAATGAATTAGTTCAAGAGAAATGGATAGAAAATATAAAACAATGATAGACTACTACCAGAAAGATTATCAAACGAGATCTGGTAAAAGAAAAACAACGTGAAATCAAACAGAAAATTGATGTGAGACAAACTATGTTAAATACTGAACTAAAGTCTATAATAGACAGAGTATTAAATCGAGAATCGAGACAAATAGTTCTAGATAGGATTATACAGAATTATAATGATAATACTATCACAATAATTACCAATCCTGAACAAATTAAAAGTTGTATACAAGAACATCTATACCAATGGACGGAAGGTACTGAAATTACCAACAATACATTAAACTGAAGATGGGCACAACAATACAAACCTATAAATAATATCAAAGATACTATTATAATTCACTAATAGCAACAATACACGAAGAGGAAATCATCAGAGTTATTAAACTCATGAGTAATAATAAAACTC